TCACAAAATTACTTACAGTTTTTTTGTGTGAATTAAGCTGAGAAATAATCCAAGCTACCAGCTTCTTGTCCAATTCATTGGATTGTTACTGGCAGAAATGAACATAACATTTTATTGATAACTACTAAAAATCTGCATGGTAGATGTCTCTGTTAAAATGGATATAAACCTCAACATTGTTATTATTATTATCGTTATTATTATTTTGAATCAGACTCTCACTCTGTTGTCCACGCTGGAGTGCAGTAGCAAGATCACGGCCCACTGCAGCCTCTACCTCCTGGGCTCAAGCAATCCTTCTGCCTCAGCCTCCTGAGTAGCTGGGACTACAGGCATGCACCACCACATCCAGCTAATTTTTAAATTTTTTGTAGAGATAAGGTCTTACTATATTGCCCAGGCTTGTCTCGAATTCCTGGACTCAGGCAATTCTCTCACTTCAGCCTCTCTAAGTGCTGGGATTATAGGTGTGAGGCACCAATTTCTTTTGAAAATTACCATCCCAGGCCGGGCTCGGTGGCTCAGCCTGAAATCCCAGCACTTTGGGAGGCTGAGGCGAGTGGAGCCTGCAGGTTCAAGATCAGCCTGGGCAACCTGGCGAGACCTTGTCTCTACAATAAACAAGAAATTAGCCGGACATGGCAGTGTGTGCCTGTAGTTCTGGCTACTTGGAAGGCTGAGGTGGAAGGATCACCTGAGCCCTGCAGGTCGAGGCTGCAGTGGCCATAAGTGTGCCACTGCGCTTCAGTCTGGTCAATGGAGGGAGACTCCAACTCAAAAAAAAAAAAAAGAAAAGAAAAGAAAATTACCATCCCATGTGGTAACTCTTGACTGTGATTGGTTGGCAGAAACATCAGAGGGAGCAGGTGCTTGGCCTTTGCCACCAAACCGTTCATGTTTACCATCTTAATCCAGCCAGACCCCATAGGTGTCTGAGTTTAAGACCCAGCAAAAGTTGAGGGTCAAAGCAGAGCCAGAACAAAGGGGCGTCTGAGCTGGGCCTGAGCTGCTTTCAGACATGGTGGTGGGGAAGCAAAAAGGGCAAATTCTCATGATACCATGTCCCCAAGTCACCACCTGTGACATTCTGGCCAGGGAGGGAACCTCAGCTCTGCCTCGTATAGGCTGCAGATTAGGCAATTTGGACTTGGATCCTCGGTACACAAGGTAGTTACCATATCCAAATATCTTCATATCAGTTGGTAAGTAGCAGTGCCCCAGACGCCCAAAAAGCCTCCCATTCCTCGGTTGGGTGCAGTGGCTCATATCTCTAATCCCAGCACTCTGGGAGGCCAAAGTGGGAGGATAGCTTGAGCCCAGGAGTTTGAGATCAGCCTAGGCAACATAGTGAGACCACATCTCTACAAAAAAAATTTGAAAATTAGTCGGCCATGGTGGTATTCCTTTTAATTTCCAACATGGCAAGACTTCATCTCTACAATAAATCAAAAAATTAGCCAAGCATGGTGGCACATGCCTGTAGTTTCAGTTACATGGAAGACTAAGGCGGAAGGATTGCCTGAGCCCAGTGGGTCGAGGTTGCGGTGGCCATGAACATGTCACTGCACTCCAGCCTGGGCAACAGATGAAACTCCGACTCTAAGTAAGCAAACGCAAAATCGGTCTTAGCTGTTAGCCACCAAGTCACACCAAGAGGATAATGTTTGGAGCAATGAGCTGTGTGTCCTGCAGTCTGAACAGTCATTGTGCCAATCTGATGGAGTGCCTTTGAGAAAGACAAGTTTGCAGGGGGAAGGCCAGCCCTTGGGCCCTGAAAAGTGACTTGACCTCAGCTGGCACTCCACAGTCCAGTGCCTGGCTCTCCATGAGGTAGTCTTGCTCACTTCCCAGGGGTCTTCTGACATGGAGCCAACCTAGGGGAACTGTAGCCAAAATTAAAGTGCCAGTGCTTTTTTTTTTTGAGTTGAAGTCTCATTCCGTCGCCCAAGCTGGAGTGCATTGGCATGCTCACAGCCACCCCAGCGTCAACCTGCTGGGCTCCAGCAATCCTCCCACCTCAGTCTTCCAAGTAGCCGGAACTACAGGTGCACGCTACCATTCCCAACGAATTTTTGATGTATTGTAGAGACAAGTTCTCGCCAAGTTGTGCGGGCTGGTCTCGAACCTGTGGGCTCAGGCAATCCGCTCACCTCGGCCTCCCAAAGTGCTGGGATTACAGGCTGAGCCATTGAGCCCGGCCTCAGAAGGCATTTCAGGGTGTTGATCTCAGTTGTGTGGGGCTCTCGTCTAAGACACAGGCAGATCTTATTTATTTTAGTTGTGCCCCTCCCAAGGGACTGACTGTGCTGTCTCTGGTCTATGTGATGTTTCTGCCAGTGGAGAATGGGGTGTAAGTGTTGCCGGAGAGGAGGTCTCTCTAATGGAGGGAGAGAAGAGACTTCAACTCTTTCTCGGGGTCTTGATTTCACCACAGGAAAGAATTCAAGAACAAATCGCTAAGTTGGTGGGTAAAGCAAGGAGTGCATGAAGGTAAAAGTACACACTTAAGCCGGGCTTGGTGGCTCAGCCTGTCATCCTGCGCCTTTGGGACGCTGAGGTGAGTGGATTGCCAGGTTCAAGACCCGCCTGGGCAACTTGGTGAGACCTCATCTCTACAATAAATCAAAATGAGCCGGGCACGGTAGCGCGCGCCTGTAGTTCCAGCTACTCAGAAGGCTGAGGCGGAAGGATCACCGGAACCCAGCAGGTCGAGGCTGCGGTGGCCCGGAGCGTGCCACTGCACTCCAGTCTGGGCAACAGAGTGAGACTCCAACTCAAATTAAAAAAAAGTACACACTTAAAGGGAAGGGGAGTGAGGGTGGGCAGTCTCAAGAGAAGATCTGCCTCTTGGCAGGAAAGGGAGTGTAGACAGTCTCAGAGTGAGAACTGCCCTGAGGAGCTCTTGGTGACAGGCTTTTGTCTCCACTACCTTCTGGGAGGTGGTTGGGAGGAGATGAGGGTTGTGAAAGCCATGGATTTATCTTTATTTGGGCTTCTGAGCTATGTGACAAACTTGTGTTCTACCTGTAACCACCTTAGGAAGGACCATGGCCTGTTTTGCTCTGCTGACTCCAACCGTAAACACCCTGGAGGTGTTTTCCAAAGTTTTAGCTACTCTCTTCTTGTAGGGTGAAACATAGGTCACATTTTCCTGCACTTAGTAGCCTGCCTCAGAAGGAAATGTTATTTTTTGGTCCTGAGGGATTCAAGCCCCAATGTACATCTGAAGAAACTGAGGCTCAGAGAGTCCAAGTGACTTGCCCTGGTGGAAGATGAGTAAGGGTAAAGGGATGTCCTGCATATGTTGTTCCAGCATGGTGTACAGGGACCTTGTCTGACTTGGTTCCACATGGAACTGCACTTGGAACAGTGCTGGAGTATAGAAGGTCGTTAATTAAGGCTTACTTACTGAATATGTGAACAAACAAATCTGAAACCCATTTCAAGATGGGTCCTGAGTAGTTAACTGGACCTAAGTTTAAACAGAGCCAAGCGGCCATTTACTGACTAGAGGTCACACAAAGTACTCTGAGTTTCCTGAAAACCCACATTGTGTTCAACTTACAAACTTTGGGGATTCGCCAGAATCAACCAATCAGAGTTCAACTGCCTCCCCCAATCAGGGCTCGGTTGTATTTGCCAATCGGAATTCAACTGCATTTACCAATCAGAACTAAGGCAGTTTGAATTCCTTATTTGCATAAGTGGGCTTGACTGGGAACTCGGCTGGGCACATTCTCTTATGATAATAATCAAACCCTCCCTTTGTTCTCCAGAATGCACGTTTGGCAAGAACAAATTCATTTTTCCAAGTTCCTTTTTGGAGATTTTTTGTTCATAAATACATGGTCAGCAAATATTGACTTTTGCCACCAAATATTAATTAGATGGAGTTCTCAAGACCCTGGGTGGGAGGTAGATAAGCTGGATTTTAGGTCCTGCTCAGATGCCCATGTGATCTCTACAGACATCACTTAGGCCGCATAATTTCAGTTTTCTCATCTGTAAAATGGCAAAAAAATCGGAACACACATAACAGATAAAAAGTATATAAATATTTATGTATGTATATATGTATAGTAACACTCATAAAGGAGAAACAACTCAAATAGACTAAACATACACATTGGCGAAAACTAAAAGGAGTCAATATCTAGTGCTGGCAAGGAATCAAGTATGGTGGGTAGGAGTGAGCTTTCTGGATAGTGATGTAGCATTGGGTACTAACATCTAAAATGCATATTCAACCTAGCAATCCACTTTTGGAAAACAATCCAATGGAAGCAAAAGTACCAGGACACAAGGTTATTCATACGAAGATACTTGTTACAGTATTATTTGTAGTGGCACAAAATGTGACCCCTCTTTAGGGGCCCTTTGCCCATTGAAAGGGGCATGATTGAATAAGTGAGTTTGCTCATATCTGGAACACTGCTGCATAGTTAGAGCTGTGGTTATTGACCTGAAAAAATGTCGAATTTTGGAGAAATTCTGGTGGAAAGACAAGAACAAAGCTGCAAGAGTCTATTCCTGGACTTCCAAGAAGCTTCAGTAGAAAGATTTGATAAAAGATAAATTAATAGCTCACTTGAGGGTGAAGGCTAACTATAGATTTATTTAATTTATCTGACATCTTTCCCCAGCAGATGCGGGGCCTCTAGATGGATGCATATCTGCAGACTTCCAACCGGGCAAGAACAAAGGGAGAGGAAGTTGGCAGGAGACGGTTCTAGGAGTGGGGAGCCCACGAAAACAAAAGCAAGGAGTGTGTCGGCTGAAAGGGCTTAATACATATGTGCTGGACAGGAGCCACTCCTTGAACTCATTTACTAGGACTTGGGTCCATCCTCAGCTCCTCTTCCCGCCCACTCTTTGAAATCAGTTGTGGAGGCGCTAAATGTGCGAAGGGGCAAACGTTGGCTGGGTTACTCGGTGCACGTCCGACGGGGCAGAGCCCGCGGCGGGCGGACTACAACTCCCGGCACGCTCCGCGCCGCCAGCCTCGCATTCCCAGAAGGCCGCGGGCGGAGGGTCTCTCAAGAGGGCGGGAGTTCCCGACATGCCCTGCGGTGCGCCATTAACCGCCGGATTTGAATCGCGGGAATGCCCGGCGGCGACGGCGGCGATATCGGCATGGGCGCCCCGGCATTGCCCCCGGCCTGGCAGCCCTTCCTCAAAGACCACCGTGTCTCTACGTTCAAGAACTGGCCCTTCTTGGAGGGCTGCGCCTGCACCCCGGAGCGGGTGAGACCGTCCGGCCTCTTGGGGCTCGCCCCGGCGCCCGGGCGGCGAGACGACCCCTCCGGGGAGCTGCCGGCCCCACTGTGGCTGCGTCCCCCGGGGTCCGGGCCGCCCCCCTCCCCCCGCACTGTCCCCAGCGCGTCCACTGGGGCTGGGCCCGGGCCGGGTCCGCTCACGAGCTGTGCTGTCCCTTGCAGATGGCCGAGGCCGGCTTCATCCACTGTCCCACTGAGAACGAGCCCGACTTGGCCCAGTGTTTCTTCTGCTTCAAGGAGCTGGAAGGCTGGGAGCCGGATGACGACCCCATGTAAGTCCCTTCGGGCCGGCCTCCAGAAGCTTCCCTGGCTCGCCGGAAGCTTGTGTTTTGGACGGTTCGCACGGGAAAACCATTCGAACTGTGAGACCTTGCCAGCATAGCTTTCCAGCTTTGTTCCTTAAACAGCTGTTGTGGAGGGATAGATCTCTCCATATGCCGGTGCCTTGGGGATGCTTGCCACCTAATCAATTCTCATTGGCCAGAATGTCCTTGGGGTGGATGTTGGCCAAAGTCTCATTCATGTCAGGTGCTTGATGCCTTTCAGGTTCAGCAGAATACATTAGCAGATTCTGCCACTGTGAACTCCCGGGAGTGTCCGAGTGCTTTTCTTGTTTGAGATTTGTTTGAAAACAGCTTTAGTGAATATAACCCACACAGCACAAAACTCACCCTTTTAAAGTGTACACTTTAGTGTTGTTTTGGGATTTGTTTTTCAAGATGCCTAGTTGACTAAAAAAAAATTCGATGTATGTATTCAGATAGACTATGATATACATCTTTCCGAACTATGGTGCCATATTCTTTTTTTTTTGAGTTGGAATCTCAACTCTGTCGTCCAGGCTGGAGTGCAGTGGCACGCTCACGGCCACAGTAGCCTCAACCTGCTGAGCTCAAGCGATCCTTCTGCCTCAGCCTTCCAAGTATCTGGAACCACAGGCGCACACCACCACGCCCAGCTAATTTTTTGATTTAGTGTAGAGACAGGGTCTCGCCAAGTTGCTCAGGCTGTTCTCGAACTCGTGGGCTTAGACAGTCCTCTCACTTCCGCCCCCCAAAGTGCTGGAATTACAGGCTTGGGCCACTGTGCCCAGCTTTAGTGCCATATTCTTAATTTTTTATTTTTTGAGTTGGAGTCTCATTCTGTCGCCCAGAGTGCAGTGCAGTGGCACACTCCCGGCCACCACAGCCTCGACGTGCTGGGCTCCGGCAATCCTTCTGCCTCAGCCTTCCAAGTTGCTGGAACTGCAGGTGCGCACCACCATGCCTGGCTAATTTTTGATTTATTATAGAGACGAGGTCTCACCAAGTTGCCCGGGTGGGTCTCAAACCTGCAGGCTCAGGCTATCCACTCGCCTCAGCCTCCCAAAGTTCTGGGATTACAAGCTGAGCCACTGAGCCTGGCAATTTATTTTTTATTTTTTATTTTTTGAGTTGGAGTCTCAATCTGTCGCCCAGACTGGAGTGCAGTGGCACACTCCCGGCCACCACAGCCTTGACCTGCTGGGCTCTGGCGATCCTTCCGCCCCAGCCTTCCAAGTAGCCAGAACTACAGGCGCACGCTACCACGCCCGGCTCATTTTTTGATTTATTGTAGAGATGAGGTCTCGCTTGCCCCGACGGGTCTTGAACCTGCGGGCTCAGGCAATCCACTCACTTTGGCCTTCCAAAGGCGCGAGATTACAGGCTGAGCCACTGAACCCAGCTACCTGGCAATTTTTAATTTTTTAGGTGGTTTCTGTTTCCCCCCCATATTCTTTTATTTATTTGTTTGTTTGTTTATTTATTTATTTTTTGAGTTGGAGTCTCACTCCATCCCCCAGGCTGGAGTGCAGTGGCATGCTCACGGCCACTGCAGCCTCAGCATTCTGGGCTCAAGCTGTCCTTCCACCTCAGCCTTCAAGTAGCCAGAAGTTCAGGTGTGCACTACCACGCCCAGCTAATTTTTGATGTATTGTAGAGATGAGGTCTCGCCAAGTTGCCTGGACTGGTCTCGAACCCATGGGCTCAGGCAACCTACTCGCCTTGGCCTCCCAAAGTGCTGGGATTACGGATGAACCACTGAGCCTGGCCTCCCCCCATATTCTTTTCTCACTTTTTTTCCTGCCAGAATCTATTGCTTCCACAACTTTAATTTCTTCCCCTAGAGAGTCACCCAAGTTGTTTCTCTTCTTGACCAGAAACAGTTGCTGTTTTTCAAAAAAATATGTTTGCTGTGGTGATCACTGGGAACGGTCAGTGGTATTATACTTGAATATCTAAGTTATAATGTTTTTAGATTATAGTTGCCATTGGCTCTCCTTTTGGACTTTGTGTGGCTGTGTTTTCATTCTAATAATGTTCTGGTGATGTACTTATTCGGTGAGACTCCCCTGGCCGAAAATGAGGGCATGAGGTAGAGGGGGGCCCCTGGGGAAGCCCAGTCACTGATGTCCTTATTCTGAACCAGTGGATTATGTGTCAATCCCAGTGAATGAAATGACTTCAAATAGTTCCTTGAGGATATTAGAGGGATTTGATATGCTGTTCCTCTGGAATTATACCATATTAGCACTTTTCTAACTAATTGCTATAGGCATCCAGAGCAAATACGTTAGATATTAGGGGAGATGCCTACAGAGAGAGAGAAGGTGCCAAGACCAGTCATGTGGGAGGTGACACAGCACTGATTCCATCGCCTTCAGACTTCACACTTTGCTCTTGAAGCAGAAGAGGTATGCCCGTTGGGGGGGCTTGGGTGATGGCAGGTGGACTATTGGGAGTGAACTGCTTTTCCACTTCACCTGACTTTCCTCTGTTGACATGCTCGTGTATTGATTTTTCTAGAGAGGAACATAAAAAACATTCATCTGGTTGTGCTTTCCTTTCTGTCAAGAAGCGGTTTGAAGAATTAACCCTTGGTGAATTTTTGAAACTGGACAGAGAAAGAGCCAAGAACAAAATTGTACGTATAATTAGGAATAAGAACTGTTCAAACACTGCTCAACATCTAGTACTAAACTACCTAGTCCCTGTAAGAGACAGTCCCAGGAGTTTGAGGCCAGCTTGGGCAACATAACAAGACCATGCCTCTACAAAAATATTAAAAAATTATTGCCTGAGCCAGCAGGTTGAAGCTGTGGTAGCCTTCCTTGTGCCACTGCACTCCAGCCTGGGCAACAGAGTGAGTCTCCAACTAAAAAAAAAAAAAATTAGCCAGGCATGGTGGCATGTGCCTGTAGTCCCAGCTACTTGGGAGGCTGAGACAGAAGGATGCCTGAACCCAGGAGTTCAAGGCTGTGGTGAGTCATGATCACACCAATGCATTCCAGCCCGGGTGATTCAAAAAAAAAAAAAAGAGGAAGAAAGAAAGGGAAGGAAGCCTCGGTGACTCAGCCTGTAATCCCATGCCTTGGGAGGCTGAGGTGAGTGGATTGCCTGAGCTTGTGGGTTCGAGACCCGCCTGGGCAACTTGGCGAGACCTTATCTCTGCAATAAATCAAAAATCAGCCGGGCGTGATAGCGTGCGCCTGTAGTTCCAGCTACTTGGAAGGCGGAGGCGGAAGGATCGCTGGAGCCCAGCAGGTAAGGCTGCGGTGACCGGGAGCGGCCACTGCACTCCAGTCTGGGCGACAGAGTGAGACTCCAACTCAAAAAAAAAAAGAAAGGAAAGGAGGTAGGGAGGGAGGAAGGAAGGAAGAAAAACATGTTTCCGTAGTGAAGTAGTGTTTGGCATATGGTTCCTTGGTTGGTAGGGACATGTGATGTTAGGATTGCCTTCCTGCCTTCATTGACAATCTGTATGGAAAGTCACTTGCATGGTTGTGTGTTCGTGTGTTAACAGTGACGTGAGCAGAAGGTTTGAGGACACACGGTAGACTGTTTTGGGAAGGGAGAGAAAGAGGCAGCAGTCCAATTGGACTTTGACTCTTGGTCAGTTGTCTTGGTTATTGGAGAGAAGAGGGTGAAGCTGTGAGTACACAAAGAGGTGGCTCCCAAGCAGCCAGGATATGGAGAGTGAGGCTTGTGGAGACTAGGGCTCCTGGTTAAATCAGGACTTGAGATAGATGAGGAATGGTTTTTCAGTATAAGTACATCCCATATTTTGTATGGGCATTTACTAAAACCAGTCATTTATCTGAAGTTGAAAATTTTTTTTTTTATTGTAGTGATGGGGTCCTGCCATGTGGTCCAGGCTGGTCTCAAACTCCTGGCTTCAAGCAGTCCCCCCATCTTGTCCTCCTAAGTAGCTGGGACTGCAGGTGCCAGCACACCTGGCTAATTTTTGTATTTTGTAGAGATGAGTTCTCGCTATGTTGCTGGGCTGGTCTTGCACTCCTGACCTCAAGCAATCTTCCCACCTCGGCATCCCAACGTGCTGAGATTATAGGTATGAGCCACCACACCTGACCTGAAGTTGAAATTTAACTGGGCATATTCTTATTTGCTAAATCTAGCAGCACCGTAGAGAATAAATATCCTTGTAGCAAAGCACTGGTGGAGAACTGGGAGATGTCCTAGGACTGAAAGTCCTTGTGAGTGTTAAGCCAGTCTTGATCACACTTTCCTTGCTACATGGATGATAGCCCCCACCCCCCGCCACCACCGTGGCTGCCGAGGTCCCTCTTCAGCTTGAAAATTGTTCCTTTTTAGAGATCAGTATAAAATAATTCTGTCCAATATGGTACCTTTTAAATGCTGAGAATGACAATTGTGTTTCGCCAGGAAGAATAAGTCGGTGGTGGCTGAAATCTGCTGCGGAGAGCGGGCCACTTGGGTGTGGGAGCTGCAGTGTGGGAAGTGGGAGGCAGACTGGGGAGAGATTTCTGGGTTAGAGGTCAGCCCTTTAGGCTGGGTTGGCAAGCTTTTTCTGTAAAGTGCCATAGACTGGAAGTCTTTTTGCCTTGGTAACCCATGTAGTCTCTGTTGCACATTGTTCTTTGTTGTGTTTTTCACAACCAATTTTAAAAGGTAAAATTCTTTTTTTATGGGCTAAGAAGGCTGTGATAGGCTGGATGGGTTTGGCTGATGGGCCCCACCTAGCCTGCCAAGCTCTGTTCTAGAAGGAGCCACTGTGCACCTGGGGAGCCATCCTGAGGGAGGTGCCTGAGTGCAAGAGTGTGGTGAGCTGGGAGTCTGTCTTGGAGCACTGAGAGACACAAAGGAGTTCAGTTGTTGCCATTGCAGACAGAATGACTCTGGGTTCTGACACAGTCCAGTTACAAAATGTCCGTTAAATGCTCATAGATGCTGGGGACTGCTCAACCCTAGGGTTCCTAAAACCAAGACAGGGTCTGGTGGAGGAAGTCGAGTTGCCTGTTGGACATAGTGATTAGGAGTGCTAGACTGGCAGTGTTGTCAGGATGTGTACACCGAAGGGGCAAGAAGCCAAAGCCCACCCTCTGGTGTGCAGCAGCCAGGGGTCGACCACACAGAATGAGGTGGAGACACCCCATCCTGGTGAGAAAAGTGGGGAGATTCCAAGATACTGTTTGGCTTTCTTTTTTTTTTTTTTTGGAGTTGGAGTCTCACTCTGTCGCCCAGGCTGGAGTGCAGTAGCACACTCATGGCCACCCCAGCATCAACCTGCTGGGGTCCAGTGATTCTTCCACCTCAGTGTTCCAAGTAACCGGAACTACAGGTGCATGCTACCATGCCCGGCTTGTTTTTTAATTTGTTGTAGAGATGAGGTTTTGCCAAGTTACCCAGGCTGGTCTTGAACCCGCGGGCTCAGGCAGTCCACTCGCCTTGGCCTCCCAAAGTACTGGGATTATAGACTGAGCCATGGCTTTCATTTTGAACTGTTTTTTGTTGTCCCCAAATCAGAATACAGAATACTTTTAAATTGTGGGATTTTTTTTTTTATTACTTTGCTTACTTACAAAACTATATAAGCTTCTATAAATAAAGCAATTAGACCGGCCTGGGCAACTTTGTGAGACCTCATCTCTACAATAAATCAAAAAGTAAGCTGTGTATGGTAACATGCGCCTATGGTTCTAGCTACTTGGAAGGCTGAGGCGGAAAAATCACCCTAGCCCAGCAGGTCGAGGTTGCAGTGGCCATGAGCATGCAACTGCACTCCAGCCTGAGTGACAGAGTGAGATTCCCCACCTCAAAAAGGTGTGTGTGGGGGGTGGGAGAGAGGAAATCAGAAACTCCACCCCCATCAGAGAGGTAGTCACCATTAACTGGTCTCTTTCCTTCCAGATCAATTTTAAGTTTATATATCTTAGAGAAGAATAAAATGTTTGAGCTACTCATACTTTCTTTAGTTGTTTGATAAAATTTATATTTATGAGTTTTTTGTAAGCCAGTGCACTCAACTATACTGTGATAGTCTAGAGCCAGTGCTGCAGCTGCTAGCCACATGCAGCTATTAAAATAAAAATGATTCCAAACGTAACATTCTGTTCTGCAGTCAGACTAGCAGCATCTCCAGTGCTCAGCAGCTCCATGTGGCCAATGGCTACATCCCCGGACAATACAGATAATAGAACATGTTTGTCGTGGCAAAAAGTTCTGTTGGACCAGCTGCCCTAGAGTATCCGTCGATTGAGATTTGTCGCCAGTAACTTACAACTAATACAGAAACTCATGTTCCCACGTGCTTTCCCATGAATGAATGCAGGGGCTGGGTCCAAGCAGGGACATGTGGATGGGCCTGTTGAGAGCCTGTCGCTGTACGGGAGCACCAAGGAGTACACTCTCAAGGGGCGGCATTCATGAGGGTCGCGGGCCTAAGAGCCTCCTCTGCACGTCTCTGCAGAATTGGGAACTGTTGCTTTCAACTGTGTTGTAAGTCTGTTAGTATGACTGCAGTACACAGTTTAAGACAATAGCTTAGCAGGCCCTCTTTTAAAAAGAGCCTTGTAGCTGGGCTCAGTGGCTCAGCCTGTGGGAGGCTGAGGAGAGTGGATTGCCTGAGCCCGCGGGTTCGAGACCCGCCTGGGCAGCGAGACCTCATTGCTGCAATAAATCAAAAAATCAGCCGGGCATGGTAGCGCATGCCTGTAATTCTGGCTACTCGGAAGGCTGAGGCGGAAGGATCGCCGGAGCCCAGCAGGTCGAGGCTGCGGTGGCCGGGAGCGGCCACTGCCCTTCAGTCTGGGCGACAGAGTGAGACTCCAACTCAAAAAATAAATTAAATAAATAAATAAATAAAAAGAGCCTCGTACGATAATTCTGTGTTGTGAAGACAGAAAAGAATGCTGGTGGGGACTCCCAAGGCCCCAGTTGGAAGCTGAGCCGCCCCCTTGCTACCCAGTGCTCTGATTCTCCTTCCTGCATCCATGTTGCTACCTTGGCTTTTGAAACAGTGAGATAAATTAGAACCAATTTGAAAATAGATCGTTTCAGGGAATAAACGGAAAACCTTACCTCTTCATAAGACTTTAATTTGTAAATACCTGTGACGAGGCAAATGAAACCCTAGAAGAAAGGAGGCGAGTCACAGCTGTGGTGGGAGTTTTGCCAGCGAGTTGTATTTGTCTTTCAGTAGTGAGAGTTCTTGTTTTCGCTTCACCCCTCTCTTTATTAGGAAACGTATAAAATGGGGAGATTAGCCTCCACACACCAGGGCAGTGGTTACATCATAGCATGCACACAAAGGGGCTAAGTCAATTTTTGGCTTCTTTGAAAGAGAAGACCAGGCTTGGTGGCTCAGCCTGTAATCCCGCGCCTTTGGGAGGCTGAGGTGAGTGGATTGCCTGAGCCCGTGGGTTCGAGACCCGCCTGGGCAGCGAGACCTAATCTCTACAATAAATCAAAAAATCAGCTGGGCGTGGTGGCGCATGCCTGTAATTCCGGCTACTCGGAAGGCTGAGACGGAAT